ATCATATTTAGGAAGGAAGGAGGATGGCGAAAGGCGATGAAGGTTATTAGGACGTATTTAAAATGACGCAAATAAAATATTTGGTTTACGAATGCACTGAATATGAGTAGCTTCTTCAAAGAAGACTGTATCTCAGTGTCACTCAATAACCGAAAAAACGATCTCACCTCAATCAGCCAGACATGTATTTCCCTCTGAGTTTTCGCTCTCTTTGACAGAGTTTTCGTTCTTTATAGCAGAGCCTTCGCTGGTAATAGCAGAGCCTTCGCTGGTAATAGCAGAGCCTTCGCTGGTAATAGCAGAATCTTCGCTTGTTATGACCGAACCTTCTGCATTCACGGCAGATCCTCTTTATCTCTTACTCTCAACATGTTTAATGGATTACGTCCGATAAGTTCAACAGAAAGTCCAAAAATAAGACCAATGTAAGCAACGAAGACCAGGAACTGTACAAACGGCGTCACGTCCATGTTGAGGATGGGTAAAATCATGTTTTGTACCTTTGCAGGAGATTTTTAGGATTTGTTTTGACCATAAGCTTTAAAATTTATGCAGAAACGGGTTTTTCTAAAACTTGGCAGCCGCTATGATGCACATTTCAAATTGAACGCGAACTGGGGGAGGGTGCATTCATTTTAATTTTATATAGAGGCAGGGGTGGGGTTTCCTACCCGGAGTTTCAAATACTTCTTCCTAATTGACGAAGAACTATTGAGCAACTCGATATATATATTTCGCATATGCGTACTTTCCTCGTAGTATGGGGTGCTTTTCATCTAAATTCAGTAAATCAACACAACACTCGAACATCTTGCAGTAGCATGAAGAGGGGAAATTAAAAGTGTTTTCTATACATTTCATTTTTTCTTTTTCAACATTTGTAATCTTCAATTTAAAGCGTCAGTTGCAGCTTTCCTTATTGTTTTCCCTACCGCAGCCCTTGAAACCCTTTCTCTAGATACTATTAGCCTGAAACTTTCTAGAGGTGCAACCCTGTCTATAGTTTATCGTAGGTACTCCCCCCTTCTCTTAAGGAAAGGCATAGAAAGCAATATTTAATAACCTGGTAGAGAAGTGTTATAAGAATGCCTTCTCCGTTAAGAGACACTCGCTTACTTTAAACAGTAATTTTGAAGAATGTTCATGGTTTCGAATACGAAGATTCGTTACCTACAGTGCCCCAGTTAAAATTGCTAGAGAAGAAATGATGTTTGAGTTTGCCATGATGTCTTCAACAGGAACCAGCAGCTAGATTCTTGAATATTAATTCACGAAAATGCAAATTTTTAGTACCCTCTCTTGAATCATTAAAGCAAGCAACGCTTAAATCTTAAAAAAAACTTAAAAAAGCCACTTTTTCGATGAGAATTTTGCAAAATTGTGTAATTCCAGTGACATATCGCTTCACCATAGACACTGTTTGCATTATTTTCATTATCATCTTTGTTATAATCAATATCTACATCATCATTTGCCAGTTGAAAAATATGAAAGACGATGAGAGAAATGGCCAGCCATATTATTATGATTGTTTTGTCTTGTTGAGTGCACGCAGTTAAGTTTTATCAGTATTAAAACTAATTTGCGACGGAAAAAAGAATAGAAAATGAAGAAAATATGTTATAATTACGGTCTTCGCGAAAGCACCTAATTCTTCCTTGTCTTTCGATTTTAGTATCCCTTCGAGCGCTTAATTTGTTATTTATTCATTTATTTGTCCATTCGGTTTTTTTTTGCGGATGTCTTTTCTCTCGCGCAACGCAATCCTATAGAACACCATTATTCTGACGTGAGCCAGTCCGGAAAAAGCCGCTCGGTTCTGCACTTGCACAGCTTTGTCGACGCTTTTAAAAAAACGTGAAATTTTTAACGAGGAGGCTTTAGCAGACCGCTGCATGTTTTCCCTTTTTATTCCACTAGCTGGGAGGTTATGGCGCATGGATTGCTAAGATCAAATCACAAGAGGAATTATGTTACGAAGCAGAGCTACCTTAATGTCGAATCGAAACAAAAATTGACCATTGGCAGCCGACTAACGTGCTACATTGCCGGGAAGCGTCGCAATTCGACACATGATTCGTGCGATATCGTTCGTTCGATCTTATCCGTTAGTGTGAAATTTAACGTGAAATTCTCTACGGCAGGTGATGGTATAAATTTCACTTTATGGTTAGATGTTGACAGTTCTGACGCCTATCAGCCATCAGTCTTGGCACGTTTTGACAAAGACGGCCCACATCTACCGAAACCGTCAACATTTGAGAATGCCAAAAAAACTACCGGCTGCAGGGAAAGAAGTTATATAAAATAGTTTGAGCTTATTCCAGCCTGATTACATTCTTCAATACTTAAGCTATATATGCGTAGCTCTGTAGCTCAAACTGATAGGGATTTGTTGCCGTTCCATAATTCTTTAAATTAAGGACCAATATCATGCCTTTCTTCAATGGTGAAACAAAATGACTGCAGCAGCTGTGCAAGCGAAAAGATCCCTGATGTTTACTTGGGGATGCACCAGGCTCATAGTAAATTGTGAATAAAAATTTACCGCGAATTACAGGGGCAATAACTCGTGTTTAATCAAACATCAACACAAAGGCCTCGAGATAAACCCCTTCATTCTAAAGATCTCATCAGTAATTCTCCTTGGGTCAACTGATAATCTACTAATTAATATTTTTCCTTATTCTCATCAGTTGTTTGTTTGATATTGTATTGAAATCGTGAAAAAATAAATAGAACGAATCCTACACATTCTCCATAGAGAGCACAGGCCTTATTGAATTCAAATAGTTTATAGATTTTCACACAATATAACATCAATGATAGCGGCTGAGGCATCTACATCTCAATTTTTCTCATTTAGGAATGTAATTATGCTTTAACTTCAAGTTAGCTGTGTAGTCTTCACTACGGTGAACCTATTTCTTTTGTTCCATTCCATGTGTCGTGGTCAGTCATGGGAGTTAAAGGGTTAAAGAGTCTCCACACTACCCTGGCGGGCCACTTAAAATGTTAGGGCTCAACAACAAATAGAGCGAATCGTACATATTCACCATATGGACCACAGCCTTTATTGAATTCAAGCAATTTATAGATTTTCACAGAATAATATATGATAATAGCGGCTAAAGCATCTACATCTCAATTTCGTTATTTAGGAATGAAATTATGCTTTAACTTCAAGTTAGCTGTGTAGTCTTCACTGCAGTGTACCTATTTCTTTTGTTCCATTCCACATCTCAGCTCGCGGGCTCGTAAGCAAATTTCTCTCCGGTAGTGTTGCTCACGTTTTGCCTACAAAGATTCAACAAACATAATCTTAAAATTTCTCTTTAAAATTATTCGAAAAAAAAAAGAAATAAAAAAACAAGACCGTTCTAACGAATATTTTGAGTAAAATGCATGGAAGGAACCGAATGACTTCTTCCTCCAATTCAACTATTTGGATATTGAGTTAACCAGACAAACCGATGAGACCATAGGTTAAAAACCTGTATTTACCTCCTCCAAGCGCCTGCGGATGTTCATCTTCATCATTTCTAAATTTCTAACTCCTTCTTCATCTCTAAACTTTTCCGTAGGCTCTTCCTAAAACAATTTAAAACGGCTTTTAGTGAGAAAAATGAGTTGAACAATTAGGATCCTTCAACAATGACATGAATGAAATGATAAAGAAAAAAACATTGTTGAAAGATTCCAGCTCATTTTGACATGACTAAATACATAGATAAGGTATGTCTACGCTCACTAATAAGTGTT